AACCCCACCCCCTACCCCCAAATATAATCCACTCTGCAACCCTCATTGCATACTCCTACGATAAAAATAATGCCCTAAAATATGGCACTGCAGCTTTTTATGATGAGGCCACCAGAGTTCTAACTATCCTTACTTGTCTATAATTTATTTTTTTAGTGATATCTTTGCCTGGCTTTGGTATTAGGGTTATACTGGCTTCATAGAATGAATGCAGGAATATTCGATCTATTTCTATATTCTAATTATTGAAATGAGTAGAATTCTACAATCTACTATAACCTATAATCTATAGGTATTCTATAGATAATCTATAGATATTCTATAATCTACTCATTGAGGTGAGAAGAATTGGTTTTAGCTCTTGCTCTTCTCTGTATGCTTGGTAGAATTCACCAGTGAAGCTGTCTGGACCAAGAGTTGAGTCTAAATTTTTCTACTCTGTGTTACTTTAAGTAGTGATTTCCAAGAATTTGTCCATTTCTCCTAGTCTTTCACATTTATTGTAGCTCTTTGCCAAATTCGTATGTGGTATGAAGCTTGCAGAGTTTCTAAAGATTCATTTTCCTGTTAATTATATTTTCCAGCTTTTCATGAAGTGGGAGGTTATGAAGCCTTCATGGATAAATACATGAAAGCCATTCCAACTGTAATTTCTGATGGAAACATCACCATTGAGGAAAAATGCTACACGCCTAGGGCTGACTCCTTCCACATCTTCCGAGATCCTATCACAGGAGACATCCCATGGCCTGGGCTCATCTTTGGACTGGCCATCCTTGCCCTGTGGTATTGGTGCACAGATCAGGTACTGACCCTGGGAACTCAGAGTGGGCAAGCTCTCTCCACAGAAAACACGATTGCTCAGGGGCCATTGAGCCACGGTGATATGGAAATACCTGGCTAAGGGCATATGACAGGGAGGCTGGGGTAGCAGGAGGTATGACAGGGACCCAGGGTAGCAGGAGGAGTGACAGGGACCCCTGGTCAGGGCCTCTCCTTCACTGGGTTTGTCTTGGCAGGTCATTGTACAGCGTTGTCTCTCGGCCAAGAACATGTCTCACGTGAAGGCCGGCTGCATCCTATGTGGGTACCTGAAGCTGCTCCCCATGTTCCTCATGGTGATGACAGGAATGGTCAGCCGCATCCTGTACACAGGTAATGCCTGCTAAGGAACTAGCTGGGGGAACTCTCTCTTGTTTTTCCACCTTCAAGTCACTGCGAAAGCCCTGGAGCTCAGCTTGCTCTTCCTACTATTTCTCATCTTGCCTTACTATTGTTTTCTTGGTGTGTCCCGCGGAGCTTGAGGCCTGTTGGTGTTGCATTGTTTCTAATGTTACTAATTACTTCTCGAAGGGGAGAGTCTGAGTTTCTCTGTGATAAATCCCTTTGGAGTTGCAGACTTGGTACTGGCAAGAGTGAAGCAAGTGGGTGAGCACAGCTATCCTGATTGGGGAGCGATTTTTAATAGTTCAGTCTAGATAAAAAGTGTCAATGCAGGAATTGAACACTGAGGAGATCTATAGAATCTCCTGAAAGGACCTGACAACTATTCCTGGGGTGTTGCCATTACTTGAGGTAGCAGACAGGCTACCTGCTTTCTGAGGTGTTGAGGTGAGTAGCTGAGCCAAGGGGAGGTTGACTGATTGAAACAAGAGATTCTTGGTTAAACGGAATACTTTGTTTGGGAACCAAAAACCTTAACTAGTAATCTCTTGGTCATTGAGCCACAAATTTTCCCTGGAAAGAATGCATCTCTTCCAGCAAAATCTTCCTGGGAGTTACATAATGAAGGAATGAACGGAGATGAATGTGTGGAAGTGTTATTTAATGGTATAGTGTACTAGGAATTAAAGACTTGAAGCAGATTTCAAATCCCAACTCTTGATAAAACTTTTTAAAGATTGTGACATTCTCAAAATGCACATGAATCAAGTTTTATAATACTGTGTGATGGGTAGATGAAGCTGTCCATTGTACCATTTCTTTCTTTGAATTCTCAGGCATGGTTTTGGCAATGCAAGAATTCTGTAACAGTAACAAATTCAATAAAAGGAAATCTATGGAAAAAAAATAATTACTTCTCCTTTTTATTCAAATTCTTTGATGTCAGCCTTTATGCAGTTGCTTCTTCCAACCAGTGTTTGCCTAATTGTTGCTTAATTTCCCCTGGGCTGTAGTGTTGTAGATGTCATTTAAGTCAAAAGACCCACAAGGAACCCTTCTAGCCTGCTGCTGAGTCCTGTTTTCTCTCCTTTACTGAAAGGAGTCCTGTTGGCACACTCACTGACTGGGTGGGGTTGGCTGTTGGTTTAAACCCACCACCAGCTTCTGGAAAGAAAGTACACTTCTGGAAAAATACGACAATTTTGGAAACTACATGAGCAATTCTATTCTGCCCCTATAGGGTCACTTGAGTCAAAATTGATACAATGGCAATGGATTTGGTTTTTGTTTTTGATTTTAAGTCTGGAAGCAGACAGACACACCTTTCTCCCGTGGGGTTCTAGGCGGGTTTGAACCACCAACCTGTCTGTTAGCATTCAAGCATGTAATTGATGTGGCACCAGGGCTCTTCTAAGAACAGAATATTTATTTTTAAAATATTTGAGCTATTGCTGTATGGGGCCGTTCTAAAAGAGGTGTAACTATAAACTCATTGTTACTGAGTTGATACTGATTCAGAGCTGCCCTTTCATTGCATTTCTAAGGCTATAAATCACACAGGAGGAGAGTCACCCATCTTTCTCCTGAAGAGCTGCCGGTGAATTTAAAAGAAAGACATTGTGATTGCATAAAAAGAGACAGATGAGAGACAGAGAGAGGGAGAGGGAGAGGGAGAGGGAGAGGGGGAAAGGGAGAGAGAGAGAGAGAGAATTCATTATAAACCTTATGGAATATGATTGTATTCTGGCACCCCCCCCCCAGCAGTCATCATAAATTAGAATTCTGCTCAGTGGCAGAACTAGTGGTTCCCCTAGTCTCTAGTGTTAGATTGAAAAAGAGTTGAGGGCAAGAAAGAAAGAAAGAAGATGGTCCCAAGAAATGAACAAGCCTTTATTGTGTGGTCTGAGAGTGACCTGACCACACAAGGAGAAGGTCAAAATGACAGTCAAAATGGTCAAAATGGCAGTCAAGGACAGTTTCCTTTTATAGGGTTTTTTAGGGAGAACTAGGGAAGATGATATTTTTCTCAGAATTTGGGGCTGTTAATTAACTTAGGTGTGGGGTTTTGTGATCAGGCCTGGAGCCTTATCAAGATCTATTGTCTGGTCTGGTCTTTGATCTGGTGGCCTTAAATGTTATCATATTTCTCAAGGAGTGATCAGATCTGGGGGGACTGCCACATTCTTCCACCATCTAGCACACATGACATTCACCTCCCAAGACATTTGTATCATCTCTAACTCAGATACCCCACATCTTAAATGGGCCACTCAGCTGTCTGAGCTGTCAATCCTACTTGTAAATCTCAACCTTAGGAACTACAAATCATTATGAAATGGAAAAAGAATGTTGCAGTTCCCATAGGCCTGACCTCCAGGCCTGACCGTTCCTGGAAGAAAACTGATAATGCCTGTTAAGGTAACTGGATGAGTAGATTCTGATAAGGCTGGAGCCTGATTACATTTATTTATTTATGTATTTACGTATTTACGTATTTATGTATGTATGTATGTATGTGTGTATTTATGTATGTATGTATGTATGTATGTATCTATCTATCTATCTATCTATCTATCTATTTTCTTATTACCTAATGACAGGACTTCTGCCCCCAAATTCCTGAGTAAATTACCAACCCTCCTAAATCTCCATAACAACCCCTATAAAAGGAAATTGCTTTTGTCTGCCTGCACACCATTCTGATCTTCTCTGCACACATCCCTTCTAAACCCAGCCTGGACTTCGGGCAATTCTCTGCTGATATGCTGTTCCAGTTGTTTTTGGATAATCTTCAGCAGAATCTTGCTTGCATGTGAAATCAATGATATTGTTCTATAGTTTCCACACTTGGTTGGGTCATTTCTTTGGAATGGGAACAAATACAGATCTCTTCCAGTCAGTTGGCCAAGGGGTTGTTTTCCAGTTTGTGTATGTCAGCATAGGCATATCCATACAAACTCTAGGCTCAGTTTGAGTCCCTAGGGGATCCTCCAAATCATCACTAAGCCAGATGACAACACCATGGAACTATAGGTGGGGACCCAGTCAAACTCCGTGGCTTGCGAGTAGCATCAGCCATGGAGTCTCTTTATAATCACCCAAGTTATCCTATCAGCAGACACACACACACAGAATGGGAGAAGAGGAGAGAAGCAGGACCTTATGTTATGTTTGACGTTTTGACACTGTGCGAGCTCGTAGGTTCAAGAGAGTGAAGGGTGCCACACTCACCCTGAAAGAGGGTAGAGGCACAACATGCTTTGACTCCTCTCCTGGGTTTTGGGCACCAGATGTTAGGACTTTGCACTGGATGTAAGGCTTTGGACTCAAGGAAGGGACCAGAGATCAAGAAAGAAAGTTTAAAGCAGCTTTATTAAGGGAGCTCGTGGACCAGGTTCCTTGGTCTCAAAATGGAGAACAAGGAAGTCATGCTTAGGATGTCTTTAAGAGGGTTTTTATATAAGAGGGAAGGAAGGAAGGGACATTCTGTTGTGGTTTATTATTCAGTCAGGTGAGCGAGTGAACACTCCTTTTGTTGACGTTTGGTATTCTTTGAATTCTTTATTCTCCCCCTTGGCCTTGGTCTGGGCCTAATAATGACATGAAAGTTTTCAGCTGAGGGCTGTACCTTCTGTGAAACCATTTCAGGTCCTTGAACAGAGTATCTAATTTGAACTATATTTTAAGAAGCTAAATTTTGTCTATATTAGCCCTGTGTCTCTTTGCTAACATGGCTTTTTGTGTCTCCTCAGAAAAAATTGCCTGTGTCATCCCCTCAGAATGTGAGAAATATTGTGGCACCAAGGTTGGCTGTACCAACATCGCCTACCCAACCTTAGTGGTGGAGCTCATGCCTAATGGTAAGAGACAGTCCTTGCTGAAGGGGTCTATACTTTGGGAGGTCAATTGGGTCAACTCCTGTGGGCTTTCTGTGGCAAACTGTTAACTGGGATTGAGGGGGACGGTAGGTAAAGAAAGCCTCATTCTGGTGTCACCAGTTTTTGAACAGTAAGATTCAGAACAAGTTTATGTAATTGGGAAACAAGATGTATGACTTGGTTGGGTTCTGTGAGAACAATTGGGCTTGAAAGGGCAAAACTATGACCTTTCATGCAGGCCTAGAAGGAATTTCAAAGCACTTAAACAGATACTGACATAAAGAGTTAAGAGTTTTGAGTCCAAGGGAATGAGTTACTTCTAGGCTGTTCAAAGAAAATATGTGAAGAAATAAGAAAGGAAAGGTTTAAACTCAGAATGAGGAAGCTTGAAGAATTTGTGGCTTTGTGGGAAGGAGCTGTGCTGCCAGCCCCAAAACACGTGGTTCAAATACACCAGCTCCTCTGCAGGAGAAAGATGAGCAAGCCCCTCTCGGGCGAATACGCTGCCTCTGAAAAGCCGCTGGAGGGTCAGCTGTGAGTCGGATCTGGATCCAAGGTGCACAATAACAACAAGAGGCTGACGGATTCAAGGGAGAGGCTTGTCATAAGAAATGAGTTATTTCAGGGCCTGATTATTTAACCTTTTAACAAGTGTTCAGAACAATGACAGTTTTGGGAGCCACATATGAACTGGTGTTAATGATTCATGTGAAAGAAAAATCTAATAATTTTGGGTCAAAAGCAACAAGTCTGGTTAGCTTAGAGGATCTCAGAACATTAAAAAAAAAGCAAAAATAAAAATTGCAAAGATATTAGGAAGATTCCGAACAAGCTTATGTAATTTTATTACTGAAGTGAAAGACTATCTATCTAGTCAAATACCTTCACTTTGCGGTAGGGGGGAAATTGAAGGTCACAGAAGAAAAATAACTTTTCTAAGACCCAACAGCAACTGTATGTCTCCCACCTTGCTTGCTTGACTCTGCTCCAGGCTAGAATTGAAGATGTTGGAAAGGCTTTTGTTTTGTTTTTAACCACACACTTGAGGCATGACCTTGTGCAAACCATTTGCATTTAAATTTCCATTTCCATTTAAAAATGGGAGTAATAGTTAACCATTCCACAGAGCCAGGCTGTTTAGTAATTAAGATTGCAATTACCAAGTGTCACAATGGCCTTTCCAGAGTGCTAGCTTGGATTACAATGACCTTTATTAGTCAGGTTTATCTTTGTCCATTAGCCGACTTGGGATAAGGTAAGTAGCTCTGAGCACTGTGCTAGAGTGAGTAACTCACTCTAAAAAAGATTTGTGGTACAAAGATTTGTGAAGGCCGAAGAGCCGTGTTTACATGTACCAATGCTATTCCCTGTCCTGCAGTTACCAGGCATCTGTGAACACTGAATTCATTAGTGACCTCTCTGTGTTCTTTCAAATAGTATTTTTCATTTGTCACCTGCTTGACCTCTCAGGAGCATTCAGCATTATTGATCACTTGTTCTTGAGTTACTTTCATTCTTTGAATTCTGTGATATTATACTCTTTGGTTTGTTTCTTTCTATATTCATAATCCAAGTGTGCGATGTCATTATTTTTTTTGTCTGGGTCACTGTGCTCAGCAAATATTTGATAAGTAAATAAATTACTGAGAATTCAACCATAGTTTGGTATAGAGGTGAGAGTTCAGTCTCATTTAGCAGTGAACTGGTGAAGTTACTCTGAACAGATGACAGAATCAGGACTTGAAGTCCTATAGACCAACTTCTTTTTTGTTTTCATTGTAAATTGGGTGAAATGTATTAAGTTAATTGCTTTTTCCACTCACCCCTTCATACATATTTTGTTTTATAGCAATTGCAATTCTTAGAATATAAGTTCACTCTCTTCACTTCCTTTCTAAGAATCTCATTTTTATTCATTCTTCTGTGCTTCCTGTTTCTGAGCTTTATTCCTGGACAAATACTGCCTTTTAGGCTTTACATTGTTGAGTATTCTCAGGAGTAACTGCTTCCCTGGTAGTCTGTTGTTTTGATGAAGTTGAACCATAGGGTTTAATTTTATTCTAAAGTCTAAGGGAGCACTGCTGGCCTACAGGGAAGAATCTGTACTGCAGTCCTAAAGGCACTTGGTTCAAATCCACCAGCTGCTTTGTGGGAGAAAGATGGGCAATATCCTCCAGTGAAAGCTTGCTGGAGGGTCAGCTATGGGTCTATTCTGACTCCAAAATACCCAACAACAACAAAGAGTGATTAAGGGCCATAGTCTTCGGAGTCCTGCCATTTTTAGATTTTTTATTTCTGTTCCACATTTTCACCTACTCTACCCAGGACCTTCTGTGACCCCCTTTTAGAATGTTCAGCCATCATAGCTAGGCACCATTTAATCTTTCTGGTCTTATGGAGGTTGAAGTATGTGAAGTTATTAAATTTCTGAACTCATTCTTTCTACGTACCTTTGCTTTTCCCCCCATTTCTTTGTTCCAGACAGCCAGAGACTAATAGTTGTGCCTTAGACAGCTGTTTCTAAGCTTCTAAGATGCCAGTTGCTACTTACTAAAGTGCCTAAAATGGGCTAAAGATAGTAGATCTCAGAACATCTTCAGAGCTGGCAGGGAAACTAGAAAGGCTCCATGAATGGGTGGTTCCCCTGTGACTGTCATTATGGAAAGGTGGACAGAAAGCCCCTCCTGGTTTGGGAGTAGGCCACAGAGACCTTCCAGATTTTGTCTTCTTCTAAACTTGTTGTTGTTGTTATGTGCCGTCGAGTCGTTTGCGACTCATAGCGACCCTATGTACAACAGCCCTAAACCCTGCTCTCTCCTGTGCCAATCGCACTGCCTCTGACACACCCATCCTGATTACCCCAGTCACTGAATCAGTCCACCTCATAGAGGGTCTTCCCCTCCTGCTGTCCCTCCACTCTACCCAGCGTGATGTCCTTCTCTAAAGACCTGTCTCTCCTTACATCATGTCCAAAGTATGTCAGACGAAGCCCCAGAATCCTTGCCTCCAAGGAGTAGCCTGGTTTAACCCTCTCCAGGATGAATCTGTTTGTTTTCTTGGCAGTCCATGGTACATTCAATACTCTTCTCCAGCACCACAGCTCAAAGGCGTTAATTCTCCTTCTATCCTCCCTAGTCATTTACCAACTCTCTGATGCATAACAAGTGATTGCAAAAACCATGGCCTGTATCAGGCGCACCTTAGTCTCCAGAGAGACACCGTAGAAGTCTCCTTATTCTAAACTAGAAGTCTCCTGAGACTAGTCATAGCTTAGTCCCACCGTGGTCCTTTGGGATTGGTTGTTGCTTTGATCCCCTTGGATTCCCACAAAAACACATCATTTCCTGGTGCAGAACTTTTGATTCTTGCCAGATGTGCTGTTAAGTGATGCTAATTGGTTCTAACAGCTGGTGTGACTGTTTTTGTTTCCTTTCGTGTTCCCTTCCTCCAGAAGAAGTAAACCAATTATCATGTTGCTATGTATCATTTAGAGACAGGACAGGGGGTCCTTATCCTGAGCAGTGCCTCTACTGACTTCTTGAAATTAACCTCAATTATAGACACAGATAAATAAAAGTGACAATAAACACTCTTCATATACAGACCCTTGATATAGTTCCCGGAGTCTGTGGTCCCATATTATAAAAATCTAGGAAGATCCTTGAGCTTTCTGATCTCTGTTACCAATAGCTCCTAAAAAAATCACAAATTGGAATAAGTAGTCTTCAATATACATCTTGTAAGGACATAAATGAAATGGTAAAATTATTGATAGATGAAAAGTCAAGAGAAATAATAGACTCATGGTGTTGTTGTTGCGTATCATTGAGTTGGACCTGACCCAAAGCTGACCCTCTGGTGGGTTTTCAGAGGCAGGCAGTTGCATGGGAGGAGACTGTTCATCTTTCTCCTGCAGAGCTGCTTGTGAACTTGAACCACATGGCTTTGGGATGTGGCGCAGCTTCTTGCCACCAGTCCACCAGGTCATATTCCAAAATAACTTCAAGAGACAAAAATTTTGAACTAAACCTAATAAGCTGAAATTTAATGGAGAGATAAGTTCTGTGTTGTTGTTAGGTGACTGACTCATAATGTCCCTGTGTACCACAAAATCACCCCTGTTTTATCCTGTGCCATACTCAGCCTATCTTCTGTGTTTACATCAATTGTTGCAGTCATGGTGCAAATCCATCTCCGTGAGGGTCTTCTTTTTCCTTATCCTTTACTTTTCCCAAAATGATGTCCTTCTCCAGGGCCCGAACTCTCCTTATACCATGCCCAAAGTGTGAAACACAAAATCTCACTCTCCTTGTTTCCAAGTAGGGGGAGGGTCTGGGGCATTTTCTGCAGAAAGTCAAGGACTGCAGCCTTAACTATGGATTGAAGCTCAACAACAAGAAAACAATCTCCCCATTGGGCCAATTAGCAATATCAGGATAGACAGGAAAGAGATTAAGATTATTAACAGCTTCAGTTTGGTTGGCTCCACAGTCAACACTCTTGGTATCAGCAGTCAGGAAATCAAGAGATGAATTGGATAAGTCTACTGTCAGGGACTTCTCCAGAGTACTGAAGAGCAACAATGTCAGTCTGGAGACTAAGGTTTCATCTGGTTCAAGCCATGGTCTTTGCAATTACTTTCTGTGCACCAGAAAGCTGGAAAATGAGTAGGGATGACAGAAGAAGAACTGAATTGTGGTGCTGGAGAATAGTATTGAATATGCCATGGACTGCTAGGAGAACAAACAGATTTGCCATGGAGAGGGTGAAACCAGGCTGCTCCTTGGAGACAAGGATTCTGAATCTTTGACATACTTTGGGCACGTGGCAAGGAGGGACCCGTCCTTGGAGAGGGTCATCATTCTTGGTATAAAGGAGGGACAGGGCAAGAAAGGAAGACCCTCAATGAGATGGATTGATTCAAGGACTGGGGTCATGAAGGTAGGTGTGTCAGAGACCATAGGTTGGTTAAGGATCAAGCAGGGTTCAGAGGTGTTGTACATAGGGTCACTATAAGTCTTAAATAACAACATACAACAACAAAACAAGGAGCACTCTTGAAATACTTCTTCCAAGACAATTTTTAAAAATTCTTTGCTAGTCCATGATATATTCAATATTCTTTGCCAACACTACAATTCAAAGGCATCAATTCTTCTTTGATCTTTCTTACCAGTTTTCCAACTTGCACATACATATGAAGCAATTGTTAATAGCATGACTTGAGCAGGCACACTTCAGTCTTTAAAGTTAAATCCCTGCTCTTTAGCACCTCAAGGAGATAATTTGCAGCAGAATTACCCAGTGCAATACATTATTTGATCTATTGGCTGTTGCTACCTTGGGTGTTGATTGTGGAGCCAAATAAAATGAAATCATTGACAACCTTCTCTTCCTTTATCATGGTCTAGTTGTGAGGACTTTTGTTTTCTTGGTGTTGAGGTGAAGACTAGGGCCTTCATCAATAAGTTCTTCAAATCTTCTCTGGTTTTTTGTTTTGTTTTGTTTTACAAGAGAGGTTATATTATTTGCATATCATAGGTTGTTGACGAGTCTTCCTCCAATCCTGATGCCACATTCTTCATCATATAGTCCAGCTTCTCAAATAATCTGTTCAAGATACAGATTGAATGGACCCACCCAGGAACAAAGCCTCCAGGGAGCTCTGGTGGCATAGTGCATAATGTGTTGTGTTGTTGACTGAAAGACTGACAATTTGAATCCATCAACTGCTGTTTGAGAGGAAGATGAGCAGTCTCCTCATTTAAAGATTTGCAGTCTTGGAAACCCAATGAATTCTAACTCCCTGTGAGTCAGAAGTAACGTGATGTATTGGATTTTTCTATGTATTTCGTTTCCTCAAACTTAACTGTACAGAAACCTTGCAAGAAACTAAAGAATGTTTAGCTTGGATAAGAGATAGTTCGGATTTTTGTTGCCTTCAAACCTGTGAAGAATTAGACTTGTTCTTCATGGATACAGTGGATATCCAAAGGCTGTATTTGAGGACAGAAATATTTCAGACTAGTAAGTATTGTCCAAGAGGGAACAGTATCCCTCTGGGATGGTGGATTTTCTGTGGTTAGAGGGTTTGGGTAGAAAAAATGTCATGGAAAGAACTTATCAGATGGATAATTGACTTAAAGTTACTTTTTTACTCCTGAAATTATATATGATCAGATGGTAGTCCTTTTGTTTATGTGACCGTCTAGTCAACTTTATACTCTCCTTGACATGAGAGGCAGAAGCATATACTATCCTTGACATGACAGTGAGGTTGGCATTGTGGAGAAAACCAAAAATTATGGTGCCTTACTCTGACTTGGGCAGTTGCGTGACATATCAAGAGTATGTTAACATTTAACATATCAAGAAATC